GGTAGTCCAGGCTGGCCTCGAACTCACAGAGATCCGCCTGCCTCTGCCTCCCGAGTGCTGGGATTAAAGGCGTGCGCCACCACCGCCCGGCGGGCTCTGACTTCTTAAGCTAGACTTCTTCCTGAGAACATGCTATGCCTTCCCTGCAGAGGTGCTTGTCTGTGAAGAGGCTGCCCAGCCTGGCATGCTGCTTCTGGCCGCAGACTTTCCTGCTGTATATATTCCTGTCACCTTTCAGCCTGGCTAACGTGCTCCAATCCCCATAGGACAGAAGGAACTTAAGTTTAGGACTAGAGCGGGCTCAGAACTTGGTTTTTATTTGGCCAGTGTATGCAGCCGCTGAAAGGAGCAACCCCCTCCCTTCTCCACCTAAGAGCTTCGTTCCTACAGCTTGACAGCCCACGGCAGAGATGGCCCTTCCCTTCATCTGTGCCACTGTCCTCTGGAGTGCCCAGAGCCCGGTGGGGACACTCCACTCTACCCTTGAACGACTGGGGTATTCCACTACCCAACAGTCTTCCTGTTACTACACTGTCTGCGCATTTTCTCTTACTTCATCCAATCATTCCCAAGTGAGTCCTTTCCTTCCAGGCCAAGGGGTGGCTCATCATTACTGTTTATAGATCCCCAAACATTTACACATAGTCAGCACTCCCTTCCACCTTGGCAGTGTGCAGCCAGACACTGAGGCCTCAGCAGGTTCCCCGGTGCTCTTCTGCCTTACAGCATAAGCTAGTGTGGTGCAGCTCCAGTGTGCACGAGATCATGGCCCGAGGTGACACTGCTTCCCTTCAAATGCAGACCTTGTAGTTGTGGGTCCAGGTGATCACAGGGATCCGGACACCTGCTCATGTTCCATGTCTTCCGTAGATAGCATTCAATGTATTCTGAGAGTTCTAACCTGGGCCTGCCATTTTGACTTCTAGTGGTACCTTTCAGTGTAAAGCTACCATGTCTGGTCCCACCCGTGTCCTCACCCACTCAGATGGGCTCTTCAAGCTAGGAAGATACCCTACTTGAGGAGTCCCTGGATCTATGTATATGATACTGGAGTTCTCCACAGACCTGCACCAAGACCTCTTCTCTGGAGGCTGGTATTCTGCATTCCCAAGCTTCCAGAACAGGCCTGAGAGGTACTGTCCAACCTGCCCACCAGGGTGGCTGCTAAGGGCACTAACAATGTCACCGTGGGAGAATGGAGGGGACTTACCAGCACTTTCAGGAACTGGGCAGCTGTAGCGCCTGGGCTCTGCCTTGGAGCTTTGGGCAGAAGATTCCACCCTCACCTCCCCAGACCCTCTGTCTTCATGTCTGAGAAGGGCCTGGTACTGCACCCTTCTCTTCCCTGCTGGCCTCTGCCAGCTGTGTATCATCCTGACTTCTGTTCACAAAGAAGGAAAAAGAGACTAACTCTCAGGAAGACCCAGGACTCTTCCTGGCATCCTCACCTCAGACTAGAATCACCTCCTGAGGCATCAGCGTCCCTGGGGGAGTAAGATCAGCTAGCTAGCCACTGCGCCGGCAGATGCTGTCCCTGCCTTTCTGACTGCATGATGATCTGACATCACAGGTGACAGCAGTCCTTCATTCTGCAGGTGCTTCTCTGGTCTTCACAGCTTTAGTTTAAGGCTTCTGTGGGATTTTATGGACTAGGTAGTTTTCTGTGGCTCCTTACAGTGCCCACTTAAAGAGCACCGAGTAAGCGGTGGAAAACAGAAGAGCAAGTTCGACACTCATTCCTGCTGCAGCGACATCAGAGAGCAAACATCAGAGCAGCCACACCACAGAGCCCTCTGGAAAGTGGTAACAAGTTCAGGGTGTGAAAGGCCCCGGGGAGCAGACAAAGACGGCCCAGGACTGCTGCAGGTTTCTGGAGCCAAAAAGACGGTTTTCTTTGATTTGTACCTTTTCTTACTCCCAGCCCAGAAGGTTGGAAATACTCCATCTGTGACCATCTTTTTCAGGGAATTTTAAGCTGTATAAAGTAGGCTTTGGGACCAAATGTTCCCGGCCCAGGAAACCTTCACTGGATTAAATGCATGAGAATAAAGAAGAACCTTAGTTATGAGGTGTCCTTGGGAGTCACCGTGGAAGATGCCTCCATCCCCCGATACGGTTATAGGTCAGGCTCCCTGTGAGCAGGGCTTGTCCCAGGGTGAGGGGAGTGCCTCTCTTCTCCTCAGGATCCCAATGCTGCCCACTTCAGCAGAGACCAGCCAGCCACACAACCAGGTTTTGAGACAGGATTTCTCTGTGTAGCGCTGGCTATCCTGAAACTCCCTCTGTAGACCAGGCTAGCCTTGAACTCACAGAGATCTACCTGTTCTGCTTCCCCAAATAGAGGGATTAAAGGCGTGTACACTCAAAACATAGGGGTTTCTAGCACTCACATGTTCTGACCTCTGCAAAGAGAAGAGTCCCTCTCCTCAAAGCCACTGTGCTCCAGCTCAGAGAGTTCAGGGCAGTGTCTAACAAATTCAAGGCTGCCTGGGCTACCTAGTAAGTTAAAAGCCAGCCCAGGTAACTTCAGGAGACCTTGTTATCAAGTGAAGACAGCTTAGCGGCAGAGGCTTGCCTGGCATGAGCTGATGATGGCCGGTGTGGTGGTGGGGAGGGGAAGCCTACGCATCTGAGAATCTGGGGACTCCCTTGGGGAAACCGTCAGTGGCAGAGCCCTAGAATAGGGCTCATGGAAGGGGGCGCCTCAGCAGTGGGTGGCAGGACCTGGCTGGGTGACATGGTGGCAGGGCTTCCCTCTCCTGAGAGGGACTGGTGCACATTTAACAATGGAAACATGCATTTTACAAACGAGAGGATCAACAGCCGGGAAACGGTATTTTTAGCTACAGTGGCTCTTTGCTTCAAAGGCGTATGTTTCATCTAAAACCAGGCAAACCTCCTACAAAGTCTGCCTGTTTGCAAGGAGTGATTAGCATAATACGAGTGGGAAAAAAAGGCCGGGCTCCACATGGAGGCAGGAGAGCCTACTACAGGGGGAGGCTTTCTCCTGAAATAGAACTAACACATAAGGAAAGTCTTATCAATGGAGCTCAGGCCCCCATCTTCACTTGGAGCAGCCACCTCGCCTCACACGAATGTCCTGGTTGTCACTGTGTGGGACACTGTCACTAACTCTCGACTCAGCTACAGCTTGGCTCTGGCAGGTCACCCTTATGGGTGCTATTTAAATACCACTTTGGGGCTGGTGAGAAGACTCAGAGGGTAGGGGTGCTTGCTCCCCACACTGATGACCCCAGTGCTGTCTCCTGGTCTTACACAGTGGAAGGAAGACGCTGATTCCTGCAAGTTGTTCTCTGACCTCCACACCCCATGCCCGACATCTATAACATACGCACATAAAAACAAATGGGAAAAATTGAATTTCACTTCTGTCTTGTTCAATTTCTCCTAATTTTTAGGGTACGGGGGGGCCTTTCTGGGTGGCTGACAAGAGTCAAGAGTGACCAAGAAGGACGGGTGACTCTCGGTCACAGGCAGTGGTATCTGAGGGAAGAATCCCATCAAGGCCACAGGCACGGGTTGGCTAGAACTGCCTCTCCTCGTTTGCTGACATCTTTAATGCCTGTCTTTTTTCACCTGGTCAGCAGCCTGAAGAAGGGACCTGGGTTGTACACAGTGAAGACACTGGGCTGGTCCCTAGACCACCACAGGAACGAAACAGGCTGTGACCCACTTCCCAAAGCTGTGACTACAGATGTTTATTGTGGAGTCAAGTCAGAGACAGGGAACACTTGACAGCTGTCCCACAGGCTTCTCTTCTGGCTGTGACACCAGGCCCAGGCCACTGTTCTGAGGGGCTGGGCTTCAGGTGGTAGGAGACTTGCCCTCTACTTTATGCATCATCGCTGAGTGAGAAGGGAATGGGAGGGTTAGTTATTTCTCTCCCTCGGGGCTTCCCGCAGGAAAAGGAGAGACAGGTTTTCCTGTGGAGGGCCAGGAAATGGAGTGCTCTCAGATGAAACGCACAGCGGAAGATTCGAGAAATCAATTACCACGCTGCTGCAGGGGTGAGGGGTGGGCAGGGGCAGGAGGAGGAGCTGAGGAGGAGCTGGTCTGGTTTGGCCACTCAGGCTCCAAGGGCAGGTGGAGGAAGCCATCCCCAGGACTCGCCAACTGTCAGTGCCAGGCTTCCGACAGAGGTGTGGGGGGGTCTCCTTCAGGAAAGGAGAGGCAGACCTTCATTCACCTGAAAGGAAGGGCTCAGCCCATGGGAGAGGGAGGGAATGGACTCCCCTCAGGAGAGAGGCTGGGTGAAGAAAAGTCCAAATTCTGAGGGACCTGGAGGGAACTGACTGAAGCCAGCATCCCTGAAGAGTCCATCACATGCTGGGGTGCCAAGGTTTTAAATTTAGTTCAGATGATTTGTTTAATTGCTCTCCCAAGAACAGAGAGTTGCCTAGAAGGCAGCAAGTGTCCTGAGCTTCCTTCCCTGTCCAGAAGCTGCCCGCACCACCTCCTGACTAACCTTTGGTGTCTTATGACGTAACGGCAGGGGTGAGGTGAAAGGCTACAGCTGCTGGAATGGACGAGAGTCCCCTCCATTTCTTTCAGCTTTCTCCTAGCAGGCTCTGGGCCCCACATGCCTTCCGCTTCACTGCAAGTTCTAGAAGCATGGAAGGAAGCCAATTACTCCCTTCAGACACAGCCTCGTGTATACCTGCAGCCCACCCTTCTGCTTCAGGGTGGCTGTGAGGTGGCAGCTTCTCTTGGGGACTTAGACACCTCATATGGGGGGAAGGGCCGTTCTGCACCAGCTCTCGCCCTTCCGTGGCTCACTGGGCACGGTGGAGCCACTTGAGAAGCGGCCAGCCTGTGCTCCCCTCACTTCTGGCTTCCCTCTCCTTCCAGTCACGCACAGGACCGTCTGAGGCCTTGGGCTCCAGCCTGTGGACTCCTAAGCAGGGTCAGGAGCACCTCTGCTTTCCGACTCCCACTGAGTTCTCACCGACATTTCATGGCTCAGCTTAGACATTTTTTTCTGGAAGCTTTCCTGGCTCTTCCACTCCCTGGGCACCCTACCCCCACCCCATCTGCTCCCACAGAGCACCATCATACTGTGACGCTACTGCTTGTGATCATGACTAACCCTGGAGGGCAGGCAGGGACTAGCACTGCTCACTGCAAAGGGTACCAGGCCTGGCCCTGGCGAGTACACAGGACAGGCCTGCTCGGTGACGAATGGCTGCTTGGTGCTCTCTGGGCCGGCAGCAGTGGCATCTTACTGGATGCCAGGTAGATTTTCTTACGCTCTTACTGAGCTGGGGGCGGGGGCGGGGGGCGGGAGCGGGGGCGTGGGGGGGCTCTGCACTTGCTCCTAGCAGTTTCGTTCTCAGACCGAGGGCTCTTGCCTGGCCTGACAGCTGTGGCCTAATTTCCAGGGCCATCACTGGGCTCCTTATTTTTACCCATTGGTATTTTTCATTACTGATGATGCACGGGGGGGGGGGGGGGGGGGGGGGGGGGGGGGGGGGGGGGGGGGGGGGGGGGGGTGAGGGATTGGAGGTGGGGGAAGGGTGTGGATGAATGGGAGACATGAATGCTGTGAGGATGGAGTCAGCAGTCAGGTAGGAAAGAGGGGGGATAGGAATGGGAGCAGGGATGGGCCAAATAATTTTTTCTTTACGTTTATAAACGGGGTGCCTCACCCCCATCACACCCCTGGATTTTCCTCAGTAAGCACTTTCAACAAGGTCACAAATGCACTGGCTCTATAGATTTTTGGCTTCAAACCACATTTCAGGCAGCCTTTAAAAGCCAATCTTGGCACAGCTTCACCGAAGCCCGAGGAGAGGGAAAACTAGGGCACTTTTATGCTTTGAGAAAATATCAGATCCAGGTCACAGCTTCCTGGCTTTGTGAAGGCTGCGAGGCACCCTTTTTCTACTGGCCCCAAACTGCACACCATCATCACTGCCGTACCAACATTTCTACCTCAGAGCAGTCACAACACCAGTGGCATTTCTTTCCTGCCACCTGTCTACCTAAGCCACTATGGCTACCTTGGTGCAGGCGGGCACCCCAGTTCAGAGCTGGTGTGGGGCCTGGAGTATTCACAGAACAGACTGCTGTACCCCATTCCTCTCCAACTAGCCGGGCTCTCTAGGCCCCTCCACAATGCTGCTGCACACTACCCCTCCTTGGGACTATGGGACTATGGAGACACGGCTGTGAGGTCCATCCCTGGCAGCACACAATGGCAGCACAAGCAGCTACTTAGAAGTCAGAGCCTCCGTTCCCTGGTCGTGTTGAAGACCCGCTGAGGGCTGGGGATGGTTCGGTATCTGGTGCTGCTACGCAAGCACGAGCACCTGAGTCTGGACGGCAGCATGTATCTGTAATCACAGCACTCCTATGGCTGAGATAGTGGGACAGGAGATGGAGACAGAAGAATCCCTAGAAGCTTACAGCTCGGTTAGTTCGGCTTAAAAAGCAAGGTGGAAAGCAAGGACATATACCCAAAGTTGACCTCTGACCTGCACACACACCATGGGATGCACGCACCTGCACACACACATATTTACACACACCCCATGGGATGCACGCACCTGCACACACACATATTTACACACACACCATGGGATGCACATACCTGCACACACACACATTTACAGAAAAGAACCCTGCTGTTGTGGTATCTTCTTCAGGAATGTGTGAGGCCCGAAGCCAGCTCTGTGAGCACCAGGCTTCCAGTCTTGACTGAAGTGCAGTGTTGCCAGTGAAGGGAAAGTGTGGCCTCCCTGTGTGCTGCCTACGTCTCCTGACCACCTCCTCACTGTCTGTTCCCATGCTGTGCTGCGGGGCGGGGGGTCCTCTGGGTCATACCCATTACTGTGCTCCACTTTGCTCTCGGAGGGATGGAGCGCAGGGTTGTTGGAGGTGAGGGGAAGTCTCTCCTGCCAGTACCACAGTGGCTCTCACTGGCCTTGTTCCCACTCCCCTGCACCTGGCATCTGAATCCAGACCACAGGGTCTGTTGGGGCTGCCTCCCCAGTGCCTACTGTCTCAGATTCTGGTCCCATGAAGAGCTCCTCATCTGTGCCCAGGATGATGACACAGTTTCCTGCACTAGGGTGGGCAAAGGCCCCTGGCAGGACAGTAAGGTGTGTGCCACCATGTCCCATGCCTTAACTAACTAACTAACTAACTAACTAACTAACTAACTAACTAACTAACACTGTGTATGTATGCATGACGTGTATGTGTGAGTGCGTGTGCCATGGCACATGTGTGCATGACTTTATGTGTCGTTCAGGGACTGAACTTAGGTCACCAGGTTTGCATGGCAGACACCTTTACCTGCCTAGTCATCCTGCTGGCCCTTTTTATTTTTCAAAAATCTTATTTATTATTAGTGTGTGTGTGTGTGTGTGTGTGTGTGTGTGTGTGAGAGAGAGAGAGAGAGAGAGAGAGAGAGAGAGAGAGAGAGAGAGACAGACAGACAGACAGACAGACAGACAATTTGGTTAGGCTGCTCCTCCCAGAACCCTACAGTCCACTCCTGCCACATCTACACCAGTCAGGGGTCTCCTCCAGACCATGGCCTTCTCTGACTCAAAAGACCCAAACAAGGCCGATTAGGTGTTCTCCAGGTCCTTGGCCTGAGCAAAGAAATAATGTCTGTATGTTTTAGGTGATAGAGCTCCGTGTCCAGCTCATGGGGAATGCCTCACAAGCATAAGCTGGAAATGGGCAGCTCTATTATGAGATGGTCCTAGGAGCCTCTCAACAACCCCATGAAAACATACACTAAACATGCCAACTGTAAAGGAAAAATGCATCACCTAGATGTTAAAAGTGGTAAGACATGCCCGCAGAACAAGTAATCACAGTGTATGCATGTGGGAAAAGCTTGAATCCAGAGCACATACAAACCTTTCCACAAATCAATTAAGAAAAACATGCCGGGCGTTGGTGGCGCACGCCTTTAATCCCAGCACTCGGGAGGCAGAGCCAGG